AAATGACGTATATTACAGTATTATTGATTCTTTACGTAAGTCATTAAAAAGTATTTTCAACTTCTTTATGACAAGCCGTGTTGCTTGGGCGACGGACATCGATTGCCATCCATTGACGGCAATCGAATGTGCAGGAAGGCAGCTTCCACACCTGCGTAGGATATCGCACCTATTCATCAACACACATGGGCCGGGACCAACGGCTTTACTTCCCTTCCGAAGGAAGACGTGACCAGAGATTTTTATGCCTCAGAAAAAACCCACCGACCTCGACTGGGATTGAACCCAGACCCATTGGGGTGAGAAAGCAGTCACGCTTACCACTACACCACCGGCGCTGGCTTTAATCATTTCATGATTAACGCATGTTTATACATTGATCGAATTAAAATTTGATTACAAAATTATACTAAATCTGAATAACGGCGTTGAATTCGTTCAGAGTTTTCCAAATTACATATAAACATTGGAAGTTTCACACGTAATATCAATCACGATGGCACCCACAGTCGCAGTCAAGAAACGGTAAGGATCCGGTAGTAAGTGTTAATTATTCATAGGGAACTGTGAGTCGTGTTGGAATAACCGAGGAGCTTGAAACAATCAGTCGCGTCTAAATATGTTGGAGGAGTTATAACTGAACGCCTTCCCGATGGCAAATAATAAACATAACATAATAACACCTCTGGGCACAAATTTGAATAGGTGACAATATTTTATCTCGCTTAAAGTATTACTGAAAATTCAACAAAACATTTTCCCTCTTGCAAGCGCATCGGTCACGTGGAAATTCGCCAGTCGGACACAGATCATCAGCACCATGGTCCGCAGTTTATTGACTTTGACTCGGAGTTCAACGAGCACTTTATTATAACCATTCTCGATCATCTGATACTCGTGTCGCTTCTGTACATATTTATTGTAATTTACATCTATGAAAATATATCTTCAGTATTTGAGAATACTTTGTTCACTTTTTTTCTTAATCAGTTACTTGACAAAAATAAAAAAAAACGCATCCAAACCAATAAACAGCTTGTATACATCCTATCAATATCGCGACTTTATACATTTCAGTGTATAAACCATTTTTATACTAAGTACGTATTCTCTCATTTTATACCGATCTATGCGTCGGTCGGGAGAGTTGCGATTTAGCGTAGCTTTTATACTATTTAGATTTGAATATTTTCTGAGTGTATACTTGCTGGCGATTTCATTTCCGCTTTAACATCGTTAAGGATGACATGCACCAACTGCAAAAACTGTGGTGTATGATTCGGACCGAATTACTTGCCGTGGATATTGCGGTAATTTCTTCCATTTGATCTGCGCTTAGGTGGGATATTCGCTTCATGAGGCACTAGGAACCCACTGTCGTAATGTTTTCTGGATGTGTGATGGTTGCGCGGATGTGTTTTCAAATGAAAATTATCGGAAAATTACGTCACGTTGCACTGCCGATAATATGCCTGACGAAGCTTCGTTGAATTCGTTGTAAGACGACATAGCTGGACTGAAGGAAATAGTCAATGCTCTTTCTACAAAAGTTGACTCCAAGCCTGCAGATTTACACACTAAGATTTTTTTGCCGAGATGGGCACCACCGAGCAGCTCGGCATTTTATTTTGCTGGAAATTCAGCAAAAAATATGTTTGTTAGCTGAGATCTCGGCAAAATTCCCGTTTGTTAGCTGAATCTCGGCAAGTTTTTCACTGAGATCCAGCAAAATAAAATGCCGAGCTGCTCGGTGGTGCCCATCTCGGCGAAAAAATCTAAGTGTGTAGGATCGAACCCAGTATGGAAGATTTTCGGCACTAATCCTGTCCCAAACACACAGAAACGGATGCGGGAAGAAGATCAACCGACGGCAAAGGCTCCGATAATTCAAGGAACAAAATCAGTTTCGAATGTTGTAAAGACAGTTCCACAACGCGAGGATCTGCTGTGGATTTAATTGTCAGCTTTTGACCCTAGTACTTCAGACGATGAAATTGCGATTCTCACTACCGACTGTATGAATCTGGGCACTGATGTCAAACCTGAAGTGATCAGGTTGGTCCCTAAGGACAAAGACCCTGCCACAATTAGCTTTGTTACTTTCAAAGTTGGAGTGAGCAAGAATCTCAGGGACGTGGCCTTAGCAAAAGAGACATGGCCTGAAAACGTTTACTTCCGCGAATTTGAGAACAACTAAAAAAAAAACTCTCGAGTCATTCGGATAGGTGCGATGCACAGACACCGGTGGCCAATAGGATTAGAACCAATAGATACTCCACTGATCATCTCTTTCGCTGAAGTCAACCCAGAACGCACTGCCTATAGCATTATGGAAGTCCCTAGTTCTCCCTGTTAGTTCCTGCCTCCAAAGTCGTTCTGGACTTGTGGTCGAGGAAGGTGTCGGGGTCTTTAAAAATCCTCTCACAGGCAAGTATCTCGCTTGTAATAGCATAATAAAATAAAGTAGAAGTGGACCCCGATGGAAATCCGATGACGGGCTCCGTAGACGGATCCCGATTACGGGTTCCGTAGACGGATCCCGATGGGGAAACCGAATACGAGTCCCGATTGGGATTCCGTAAAAGGATCCCGATGGGAAAAACCCCTATCCGATAGGATTGGTGGCTTACATGCATTGACATTGAGACCCTTATTACGGGTGTCACTTCACGGTGAAAACGAAGTGAAGTGACCAGAAGTGCCGTGTAAATCAAATAAGAATCACTTCACCGTGAGTGATAAGTTGTCACTTCACCGTGAAGTGACATCGGTAATAAGGGCCTGAATTACGAGAAATTTACGAAAGACGGCATTGTTTACGTTTTCGACATTGGTCCTTGTGAACACTCAGTGTCGATATCATGAGAATTTTATTTTGACAGATCGATGGCCAACTATACCAGTTATACCACTGAGGCAACACAAAAAAGGAGTCAGTTATTTTGAATGAGGTTCCACGTATGTTATGTGCTATGATGCAGGAAAAATATATATTGCTGAGGTAGTAGGTTGTAGATTCTAAAGATTTCCTGCAAAAGTAGATACGAGAAATGAAATATTTTTCGAATATTGATTCGCTAGTGTGAGATTTGTTGAGCATCTAGAATTGAGATTTATATGTGTCGTTTCCCTCGGGAAAAGGACGTTAGAAATGAACTGTGCTATTGAATTAAAGACTGGACTCGGAAAAAATGAGACACACAAAAATGATCACCAAAAATTCATTTTAAATCGGATACTTCTCAAATTTTCAGGGATTAAATAAATATATATAAGCTATGTTTTGGCATAATTTATTGATTGAATTTCCTCCCCCCAAGCTGAATGCTCGTACATTTCTCTTAACACTGCTCATGAGATCTTGGGCGAGGCTTTGGAAGGAAGATCTTACACAATTTCTCCCAGTTTTTCTCCAAAGCTTTATCGGTTTTGAATGTTTTTCCGCTTTTCTTCAACTTCTTCTTCATTATCGCCCAAAACTTTTCGATCGGACGAAGTTCTGGTGTATTTGGCGGGTTCGCCTCCTTCGGGACCACATTAACGCCCTTCGCTTCGTACCAACCCAACAAACATTGAATATTGAATAAGAGCTTATTCAGGCAAAACCAAGCTTCTTCAGCTAAAAAATAGCTTAATCAGCTGTTGATCAACTCAAATTGTTTGTTGGGAATCCATTACTTGGCGTAATGGCACGAAGCGAGATCCGGCCAGAACAGCGTGGGACCACGGTGAGAGTGGAGGAAGGGCAGCAAGCGCTTCTGCAAGCATTCCTCTCGATAAATCTGCCCGTTTATGGTGCCGGTTGTAACGAACGGCTTGCTGTACCGTCCGCACTCGCAGATCGCCTGCCACAACAGGTACTTCTTCGCAAATTTGTCCATCTTTCTCTTCCGGAACCTCCATGCGGGACGTACCGACAAAAAACTCGAGATCGGGGATTTGTTTGGTGTCCGCGTTGATGTATGTCTCGTCGTCCATGACGAGACAGCCTGGCTTGATCAGCCACTCACGGTACAGCTTCCGCACACGCAATTTAGCCACCGTGTTTTGCTTGTCAGTTCGGTTTGTCGCCTTCCTGACATTAAAAACACGTAGCCCAGCCCGCTTCATGGTCTGCTGGACGAACCACTTCGACAAATTGACCTTTTTGGCCACGTCTCAGGTGGAAAGGTTCGGGTTATTCTTAAAGTACTGCCTTATCTTCCGCGCCTTCTCTGGGTATTCCGTTTTCGGTTTTCGGCCGCTTCCAGCGCGCCGCTCAATGGTCTTCGTCTCCTGGAACATCTTCACAACGCGGGACACGGTAGAATGGTGGATTCCAAGCCTTTTGCCGATCCATCTGTGCGACTGACCAGGATTATCGATCACCGCGCCCAAGATTTGCTGGCGTAGCTCTTCTTGTTTCGAATGCATCTTGAAAACTACTTGACAGATCGCGATAACATTTTGCACACATATACATAACACTCTAATACCCCGTACAGACTATGGCTTATATCATGTAATATAGGCTGTCTTGCAATGAGCACTCATACATCTAGTTTTCACTGGAAATCCTATGTATGAGTGCTCATTGCAAGACAGCCTATATATTTACATGATATAAGCCATAGTATGTCCGGAGTATAAAGTAGTATTACCCAAATTTCATTAATTTTTACCCACGCGATAAACCCGATAAACACCAAAAACAAAGTGTCGCATTTTTTCCGAGTCCAGTCTTTAATACTTATTTTTCAAGTTCAAATGTATGGTATATCATTAAAACATTTGTTTTATTTTAAAGAAGCTCGAAAAATACTCATGATGGGTTTGAGTTTATAAAATTTCCCCAGTTGGCAATCATAATCAACAAAACAAAGTCACTATATGGTCACTATTGTCATAATTTTAGTCACTACACCCACAACTATTATATCACATACCCGCTTCCAGTCCTGTAATTACTACATCGGTTTTTCATCTTTCGGCCATTTTCCATATTGAACGATTCCATCATCCACAATAAAACACCAGTACAGCTCGCTTATATTGTCCGTATGATTCATAATGCTGCAGTAATATAAATATGAAGCTACAATACAAGTCGTAAAATCCTAACTAAGATCATATTTGCTTTTTACTGTCGGTCAATCCTCCCTCAGTTTGGAACCATAAAACCAACACCTCTCAAAAGCAAACGCCAGTGCACATTTGCGAAGACCCCTGAGACATTACCACATGCGAAGGCAAATACACAACCAGATTGAACGAGTATGAATTCCTATTTTGTTTTACAATGCTATTTCTTCCCGGATTTGACTTCTCAGAATCGATGTGCCAGTTCATCGTCGTTATCGGAAGCAATTTGACGGGCCGGTGGGTCCGGTTTGGAGTTGGAAGTAGGTCCCGTGTCATCACCAGCACCTCCATTGACCATCGGGTTTAACGACCTCTGCCGGATGTGGTCCATCAGTGCGGGGTTGAGGCCGTCCTGCAAATGGAATGCCGTAAAATGGGATTAAATTCGGCTTTATGTAATAAAGCATTTCGGTACCTTCTCCAGTGTCGTTGCAAATATGTCGTTGTCGATGCCCACAAAGTCCGATTCGTACGATTGGACACTGTTTGAATTTGGAAAAAAAATGGGAAAATTTATGACACATTGTAACGCCTCACATAATGCCATTCCTCCAGGGTTGCCAAAACTATAGATTCATCTGTTTTTCTACAGAGTCTTTAAAACCAAGAATTTGTATTCATGAAACACAACTTTTATTTTCACTTCAGGGCAATTTTCTCATCACCTGCTCTTATATCTACATTTGTTTTTGTGGAATATTAAAAGGAAATGAGAACTATCACATGTATTCTTTTTGGCTATCTTTATGGTAATTTATGATGCATACATTTTAGATTTATGTCTTTATTAAGATCGCTGAATTACATTGGTAAGAATATTTTGAAAGGATTTAATTCATAAATCATTTTCCAGATCACAAATCACAGATTTTCTGGACAAAGCAAAAAAGGAAAAGATTTTTTGGAACAAAAACACAGCTTTCGTTTTGGCAACCCTGCATTCCACTTACCTAACGTCATCGAATGCTCCCTTGGTGAACTCCCGGTCGTTCAGCACCGGATTGGAGCCCTCGACAGAGAAGACGTTTGTCGTCGGTACCTTCCGACCAGCGCCAACGTTGATATCGTCGGAAGCAATTGAACCGAAATCGGTAGCAGACATGGCCTTCAGCTGTCGACTCAGGCTACGTATTTTGATGCAGAACGCAACCAACAGAATGACGCAGAGGAAGGCCAATGCTGATGCGACCACAATTAGGATCGTTTGCAGCAGTCCGCTTTTCTCCTCGAGGAATTCCACGCTGGTTACTGGGACGTCCTGGAGGAAAAGCTGGCGCGTGGATAGAGTCGTTTTCAGATTCGTCACGAATACTCGATCGTTCGAGCGCCTGAGGTTAGAACTTTCATGAAAACACCGAAATTTTAACGAAAAGGGAAGCAGTACTCACTGCTGGATGACGACCGCTTGGACGGCTTCGTCGTTCTGGATAAAGTGAGCTCTAACGTCCGTCACCGAGTCTCCATCGGCTCTTGTGTTTCCCTCGATCGAACCCTGCACCACGTCATCAATGTTGGATACCATTTCATAGTGCTTGGTAAACTCTGTCTTCAACTGTAAGTTTGAATGAAACGTGTGATCAGAAAGCCTCCCGAATTCAATCTTTCTACTTACGAAATCCTTCATCTCCTGTGTGGCAATGTCCTGGACATTGTTGAGGAACACAAAAGTGACTCTATTGCTTTCAGCAATTAGGTAAATCTTCACCTGCGACGTGTCGTTGTGATCCACTGTAAAAATCAGGCATTCAATGAATTGACGAACGACGAACTTCTACATCCACGCCTTACCCAAATCCTTAGCTACGATCGTAAACGTGTAGAAGCCATTCATGCGATCCTGCATTTGTACGGCCAGCGACAACTGTCCACTGCTCCGACCCATGCCGAATGGGAACGGACTGGTGGGAAGATTTTCTCCATGAACTTCCAGAGTTCCCTCGTCAATCGAGTAACTCATCACGTCGTCTTCGTCCGGATCGTCTGCGATCACTTCGAACAGAATCTTCCCCGGATAGTCGTTGGTGGTGATACCGGCTGAGTAGGACGGTATTCGGAATTTGGGTGGATTATCGTTGACGTCGTTCACTTTGATGTGTACGATCAGTTGGGAACGCGAATCCGGTGCCAGGGGACCGGTCGGACCGTTGATGTTGTTGGTGGCGAGGACGAGAATTTCATACGAGGGGATCTCCTCGCGATCGAGCTCCTGCGTCAGCTGAAGAATGCGCGTTTCCTTGTCCAGCTGAAAGAGGTGGCTTGCGGTTCCGTAGGAAGCTGGAAGGTTGGGAGAATATTAGGATATAGAAGACATCTACAGCTCATTCCAAGGAAGCACTTACGGTCGATGAAGTAGAACACATTCTTATGCTCCTCCGGTGGTAGTTCAGCATTTTTTGGATCGATCGCCTCCGGGATTTCACGTTTCTCTTCCATGCCTTCTTCATTTTCTGGAAATTGATAAACGATGGTGTTGAAAAATGGGGGTTTGGCTTTTAAATAGTGTGTTGTCTATAGACTAGCAAAAATGCTGAGAATTATGTACTCTGTATATGTGTACTCTGTAATTCTATTGATTTTTGTTTTAAGTACAATCTATTTTAGACAGAAGAAATATTATTACGAGCTGTGATCATTCATGAACGGCTTTTGGAGCTGTAAGATACGGCTTTCCTGCCAGCCTGTAGCTGGCCCGGGTGGCCTCGAGCAAAGGTTCTTCCCCCAAAGTCATTTGGATTCGGGTGAAACAACAAAACAACAAGCACGAATAGATTTTAGACGTCTATGAGTTGCTTAGCTTTGTCCTCTTCCACGCTGTTGCTGCTGCTGTTTGGTGGGGCCCTTTGATGACGGTATGGCGGCGGTTGCTGCTATAAATGACACTTAGCGGGGGGCCGGAGTTCGTCTGTCCCCCCGGCGACGATGCTGACGAATCACCGGATTAACTACTCACCGTAGGTAGCCCCGACAGAGTGTTTCTGCCCAGGCAAACTCACCTCGGGTACTACCTGCTTCGCTGGACGGCGGATGTTTACCGGATCCTTCGTGGTTAGCCGGGGAAGTGAATAGCTCCTTAGTGTTTAGCTTCCCACAATGGCGATCCGGCACACTTTTTACTGTACAAATATAGTCAAAGTGGCACCCGCAACGCCATTGGGAATGCTTCCCGATAGGAGATGAGCTATTTCGTGGTGACCTGCATCTTTGGAAAATCGTCTCCGAACGAAAAACACACGATCAGTCCACCGTGTCTAGAATTGTTCTCCTCTTCTTCACCGCTATCGCGAATCGACAATTCGTTGCTTCTAGGTTGACGGAAATCTACGATTTAACGCAGGTCGTCGTTTGGCGTTGGCGTTTGGCGTTGGGTGGCCATCCCGTTTGAACGTTGCCGATGAGGCTACATAAAAGGGACAGTCGCAGGTTCCAGGCCCCATCGCTTCTCTATCAACATCCGGTTATGTGGCCCCAGCAAACAACAAAGGAGGTGCAGACGGTGGAGGACTTCGTTCAGTACAGCTTCATTAGAATGCAGTCGGGAAAGAGCTGCTGCAATTTGAACTGGGAGCGCCTGGTCCGGGCAGTAGCCTCATGAAACAGAATCACGAAGAAAGCACCAGGGAAAACGGAGTTCCTGAATCGGGACGAAATGCTCAAGGCGGAGTCAACCATTTTTATGCTGATTCAGCGGGAGGCCCTTGGAGATGGGTTCGTTATCTTCAAGGGAAACCGAGAAGTACCTGCTGGAAACCAAATGAAGATCGAGAAGACCAGTATAATCTCCAAACTTTCTCCATTCTTGGATCAGCAGGATGTCCTGCAGGATGGTATTGCAGGTGCTCAGCAGGTATCGTTCGACTTTAAGTTTCCCTTGATTCTGCCCAAACGACACGGTGGAACTCCTCGTCGGTACCATCGGCAGTATGAGGGTTACCTTCAAGCCGGAAAGCAGTGCCAGCGGTGCAAAATCTACAGGGCAACTCCAGACGTTCCACGAATGGCTCCACTACCTCAAGCTAGGATGGTGTTGCACGTTCGGCCATTTACCTATATTGGCGTGGACTACGTAGCGAGGTGAAGGAAACACTATACGGGCAGGGCATCTGGAGTTGGTGCATAACCTGACAACGGAATCCTGCAAGATCAAGGCTGAATCTCTCGTAAACCTCCGATCTCCTAATAATCGACCATTTTGGATCTTGATTTTTTGACGTAGGACTACGTCTTTCGGGAAGAGTGCCAATCCAGGGAAATGCAACGAAAATTGGTCAGACTTTAAATGCTAATAACTTGGCTAATAATCAATGGATTTTGGTGATTTGTATGTCGATCGATTCGGCAGTCTTATAAGATTTGTGTGGAATGTCACACATTATAAATGGTCAATATTTAAATAGATAAAAGTTAATAAATATGGAAACATTCAAATTTATCATACATTTTGTTTGACCGCAAGGTGCTTACCCCTAACACAGCCACCAGAAAGTTGATCCTTAACAACACAAGCCGAAGCCACATAACTATTCAACGTTGCACGTTGCACGGGTCGACCTTGAACTTGTTCGTTGCAGCGTGGACATCGTAGCATTTTTTCTATTCATTCACCTTAATCTGCTAAATGCAGGAAAAAGGAGGAGCATAGAATGATAATCCAAATGCTTAAGTAAGCGAAACGTAGAAAGTTTTACTGCAGTCATCGTTTGGCTGCCGAGTGATAAACAGGGGTGTTCGTTGCGTTGCACAATGAAAACGAAACTAACTCAAAGAGTGAATAACTTTATCTCAGTTGTGAGTCACTTTTACTCATTCGTATGATTTTTTTTCTTAGTAGGCTATTCAAAGCATGAGTAAAAAAAATCTCCATAAGAATCAGTAAAAGAGACTCATTCTCTGAGTAATATTCGTTTTCAATGTATTTAGCTTGCCGTCTCAGCTAGAAATTGAATATTGGAAGTCATGCGCAGTGTGCAATTTGTATCAAATTCCTTGTTTTAACTTGACAGAGCAAGGCCAGAAAGCAGGTTTATGAATTCAGTGAAGTTACTACGAATGGACAATACCTATCGCATCATTGGACTCTTAGTTTAGAATTCACTCACCATGCAGCGCTAGTAACATTTGATTCAAAAGACTTGCTTAAGCAGTCTACATTCACTGAAAACGAATCTTATTCAGATAGTGAGTCACTTTTACGTGCGCTGAGTGACCAACGCTTTTAGAAATGTATCCTTACGAATGAGCAAAAGTTACTCACTCTCTGAGTTAGTTCCGTTTTCTGTGTTTCGGCTAAATAGAAGATTGCTATCTCTAGTAATCTTATTCAGATGGATAAGACCTATTGTAAACTGGACACAGGGTGACCAGTGAACCGTGAAATCGGGAAGAAGCTGGAAATTTTAAATTCTAAATTCTAAATTAATTCGATGGTGAACTAGGAAAAAATATACTTCGTCCTCTCTTTGGAAAATAATAATCTTCTCAACTACTAAAATTTCCGGATACAATCACTTTGAAGAACTTATTCGATAATCTTGTTGAAAATTCCAAAGGAATTTAGAGTAAATTTAAAAATGAATCCTAGAGATAATAAGGTATGTCGTGTCTTTCCCGCCAGCGCACAGCAGTCGTTCCGGACCTGTGTTTGGGTATGGAAACGGGGTCTTCCAGTCCGTCCCTACAGGCAAGTACCTGATACTCGATACGCTTCTAGAAAAATTTCGTCACCATACAATTCACCATCATATAGTCATCACCTATCCGGTCATCAAAGTTTGCAGATAACGGAATGCACGTTAAACAGCATGCTGGAAGCCCCTAAGCCACCCGACACAGTCGAGAACTGCTGCTTTTCTGCTGACTATTCCTGCCATCCAAGCCCGTTCCGTTCCTGTGTTCGGAGTTGGTGAGGGGGTCTTCCAAGTTGCTAACCTAGGCACTTTGTCGCTTCCTGAAATCTGTCTCATTGACAGCGCCGCTTTTATGAATGGAGTGGTTGATACTGTACCACGCCCAGATGCTCAGCCGTTACCGGTCATCGAACCAGAGCAAACAGCATCAGCATTTCTTCCGGCCAGTGGACCCAATGCCACTGCTTGCGCATCCTTCCTGACTTCTACCTCCGCTACTGATTTCGATGGCATTCCAGATCTTCGTCCAGGTAACGCTAGAAATAGTATATGTCCAGCCGAAGCTGTGATGGTACTGCACGACAATCAAGTAGATCAAATTTCCAGAACGATTCTTCTGTGCCTACTCCCGTTACACTTGCTTGCAACGAACCGGTCTCAGATGCTAATAACAAACTAAGGGTGTACTACCAGAATGTTCGAGGAGTGCGTACGAATATTGACGACGTTTTCTTGGCTGTTTCGTAATGTCATTATGACGTTATAATGCTTACGGAAACATGGCTTGATGACAAAGTATTTTCACCACAGCTTTTCGGAGATTCCTACACCGTTTACAGAACAGATCGCAGCAATATTAACAGTCATAAATCACGTGGCGGTGGAGTGTTGATCGCTATTTCAACTAATTTCAACGGGTACATTGATCCCACTCCGGTAAATGTATCTCTAGAACAGCTTTGGGTTAAGTTGAAACTGCATCAATGTTCAGTTAGTATTGGTGTAATTTACCTTCCACCTGATCGCAAGAATGATTTACTTAGCGTGAAATCGAGTCTATCGAAGCGATACATTCACACCTTGGGAATAGCGATCATGCTATTCTTCTTGGCGATTATAATCAATCGGGACTTGTCTTGAATACACCAAGCAACGATCGCCCTTCCGTAGATGCATTGCAGCCTCACATCTCTGTTGCTTGCGCCTCGTTACTCGATGGCTTCAATCTGCATGGTCTGTATCAAGTTAACTATATTACTAATCAGAACATGCGAATCTTGGATTTCGCTTTGGTGAATGAAGCATCGCTCTCTCGATGCCACATTGAAGCAGCTGTAGAACCACTCTCTTGTCTTGATGCCGATCATCCCGCTTTTGAAGTAACTATTAGTCTCGCACAGCCTACTGAATTTGAGAGTTTCCCGGACGAACCCGGACTTGACTTTCACCGCGCTGATTTTGGAGGATTACTTGAAGCGCTTCGCCAAACTGACTGGCACATCCTTGAATCCGCTGAAGATATTGACATTGCTGTAGAGTACTTCACGAGTGTGTTGAAGAGTTACTTGGTTGATTTTGTTCCACTGCGCAGGCCATCTTCGAAACCACCTTGGGGAAATCTACATTTACGACGACTCAAACGTCTAAGATCCAAAGCACTCCGAACCTACTGCCAGTCTCGTTGTCCTTTTTCCAAGACATCCACGACATTTTTGGAAATTTGTCGACTCTAAACGGAAGGAGAATGGGTTACCCGTTGAGATGTTTCTGAGCGATGAAGTCGCCACCTCCGCTTTGGAAAAGTGCAATTTGTTTGCCACTCA